TAAAGACAAATATTCAGTGGGAATTAAATCACTGAATAATAAAAACCGGACCCTGGGGAAGGGGGTGAGGGGGGGGGGGGGCGGCTCACTACTGAGGCCTTGCTCAGAAAGGCAGGCTTGAGTCAGAAGGTGAACAAGAAGACCAGCCCAACCTGAGGCAAAATACTTCAGTGGCTGACTTTGGAGCAGGATTTCAATTAATTATGGAGGTTCCAAGTATGTACCTGTCCAAGCAGAATTAGCATCACTCATTTATTCCTCCTAAGTAAGACCACCTCTCTGTCTGTAAGAAAGAGACAGAGACAGAGAGAGAGAGAGAGAGCGAGCTAACAAGAAATTCTTCACACGCAAGCAAACACAGCACAACAACAGAGCATTGAGCAGTGCCAGTTCACACGCAAGCAAACGCAGCACAACAACAGAGCATTGAGCAGTGCCAGGCCACAATCTGTTGGAATCACCTGGAAGCTCTTTCAACACTGGACCCCCAAAGGCACTCACTAGTCATCTGCTAAACTCCACTCACTCCACCAATTCAAACCAGAGTGAATGTGTGTAAATGGGAGCATATGGATTATGCTATTCAGTAGTCACTTTAGGACTTAACACAATTATCACTAACTGATCAACTAAGATTGGCACTTAAAAGAATGGTGCTTCTGGCCTTAGGAAACATCACAATCTCAGCTTCATACTTAAAAGTTTTAGAGGCAATTAATGTGAAATTTCCAGCATGTATACAAGGATTTAAAAATCAGTTCAAAAAAATAGGGGCCTCCTTTCCTGCCATCATTGCTAGACTCAACAAATCTCGGAGTGCCAATCTGTGTCAGCCGCTATGCCAGGCGCTATGAGTACAAAGCCCTTGCTCCAGCAGCACAGACTACGCGGCTGTGAAAGCAATGCATCTGGCCAATCTGTGCATCACGAACAGCCAGGGAGCTGTTTAAAATGCAGATCCCTGGGTCTGACCCCTGGAGACTCTGATCCGGGATCTGGAGTGGACCTTGGGAAGCTGTATCCTTAGAAAGCTCTGCTTTTGCTTTAGATCACAATGGGACTGGGAATCACTGACTCAAATTATATTTTTCAATCCAAAATCAGCAATAAAAAACATCTTAAACACACTGTGTAACTGAAGAGAAATATAAGGCATGCCGGAGTATTTAAAAACATTAAAATGATACCAAGAAAACATGGTACTACCATGTAATTTCCAAGAAAAGAAGAAATCTATACTATGAAAGCAATCTGATGATGAAGAACTAGAGGTCCCAAAAGAACACCATCATCACTAACCAGGAGTGCTCAAAAGGAAATCCTACTTAATCATTAGGTACCAAAAAGGCAGTCTGGGTAGCAAACAGCACATGGCCACTTACTCTTCGGCATTGTAGGCTGCTCCCCACTCGGGGCAGTTTCCCACAGTTACTGGTTCAGAAGCCTCACCGCCACTGCAGTGTCCTTTCTCCTCTTGGCAGCAGAGGTTATAAAGGAACTGTGTGTTGGATTTTGTAGCAGCTGCTCATTTATTCATAAAAGTCACGGAAGAATGTCAGCTGTACGTGAATTCACAGAAGACTGCCCACATGTTTTAAACAATTTCATCTGAAGATAAGAAAATACATACCTCCCTTTGCAGGTATGCATTCTTCCTACTATGAAAATAAACAGACAATAATGGCCACTTGGAAAGACACTCAATTTGAAAAACGTTTTTGTCTGTATGAACCATGGAAAACAAGACTGTAAGAAGTAGCTGTTTGGAATAAAAAAATCACTCT